GGGAAAGAGGGGATGGACCTGTTATCAGGGGATTCCCTTGCCTCTTACAGGAGACATAAGGAGAAGTAATACAAAGCAAACGTATAAAAGATTATCTATAAGGCTGTGACTTAGTATGACAGCCTTATTCAGGCTGCATGAATAATACAAGCCAAAATCAGATTTACCATCTGATCATGAAACTGGAGACAGAAAAGATTTATTATCCCTTTTTGTGCATTCCTCTCTTCGTGTCTCCAGCCAATACATGGTTGTTCCCTACAAGATACTCACTAGGGCTTAGTCTGCCTGGTTTTAAACTCCTGCCACTCCAAATTTACATAAGCTTTCTTTTGCCTGGTTTTCATGTGCCCTTTAACTGTTTTAATCAAAAGCATTAATGGGTTCAAAAAGGGATTAGCCCACTTTATGGGGAAAAGGTGTACTGGGAGCTATTATATGCAATGATGTAAACACAGTCTCTTCTTCAGTAAATTTCTAAATTGGAGATTACAGAAACTGGACACAATTGTCCTGTTCTTACACTCTTCCCCTCAGCATCCACTGGCACCAGTACCTGTGCAGCAGGACATAATTGGCATGGAGGGGTCTCTGCTTCTTACCTAGCCATCCATTATATACCTCTTGCCAAGAACATTCATAACTGTTCTACAGCTAATACGCCAAGTTGTATTTATGTGAAAGAGGACTTGAAGTGGCAAGTCAGGAGTTTGGGGATCTAGGAAACATGCAAGATGAGAATTACTAATCATTAATTCCAGCAGAATGGGTTGAGGTGTTATGAAAAGGTAGGAGGCTGATGACCCTAGAGACCTGGTACTTTAATATTAACTATGGGTTTCCAGCTGGGGTAGGAATCGCCAAAGCACTCTACCATTAACTGAAAAGGAGTTGCAGAGCAATACTTGTTGGGGTACATGTGAAAAACTGAGTCACTGGCATAACAGATGCTTGTTAATAACATGTCAGTAGCATGAAGCTGTATTTCTCCTAAGTGTCTGTTGCTATTAGAAGCCAACTAATACACTAGTTTTAGCTGAGCTGCAGCTTTTAAGTACTTTTTTTGCTCTTAAAGAGCCTTGCGGCAGACAGCCATTCACTGAAGTGCTTCACTGTATAATGTCTGCATGTCAGGAAGAAAGCTATTTCCATTCATTTCAAGAATAGCCAGAACTTTTGCCCAAAATGCTCTGACACTTGTAAGACTAAACATCTCCTAAACTTGTCGTATTAAAACTGAACCCTGACTGATACTTTATCCTTACCCTTATAGTTGGATTAAATGATTTTTTTCCTTTAGCACCACAACCATATTGAAATAGAGAGCATTCCTCATTCCACCAGCAATACGAAAGACAGAAAACCCTACCTGCCCATATCTTTGCATTGAAATATGAAACAGATGGCTGGGACATCACAGATCAATACGCATTGAGTCTGGTATGGTGTACTGGTTATAGACAGCTTAACTCATGTCCACGTTCATGTTCATGGCATTTGTTTCTAGGTCAGCCGCCCAGTGACAGAAAAAGCCCAAAACATCCTGAAGATTGAATATGATGAAAATTGCCTGACCCTGTCAGCAAGGTACTGTCCCCAAACAGCCATGGCAGAGGGTGTTACATTCTAGAGCTGTATCTCTAGGTTAGTCTAGCCAATACTCAAGACTTAACTGGTGTCTTGTTCTTTTTTAACTCAATTTCAGCCTGTGCTATTGTGACAGACAATGGCTGAACGCTTGATTACACAATGAAGATATTAATTATAAATGTGAAGCTCATAAACTGTAACTAATTCCACTCATATAGCGAGTAAAGATTAGAAGTCAGCTGTTGATAACATCTTAAAGAGAAGGGAAAGAGAAGAAAGTCTGATATTCAGAAGCCCGAGTCCTTTCCATTATCTTTCACACTTTTTCCCTGTGACACTAAGAGTTCACCTGTTACCTCATACCACTAGGGTTGCAAAACTGCTGGAGAAAATAGTAATTAGGTAATACCATGCAATAGATATAAAAGCATTTAATAGTGCTAAGTGACAAAGCCAAAATTAAACCTTACTGGCAACCTCATGGGTCTTTCTAATAAAAGGAATTTCACTAATGAGTTTGTGTAGTGCTAGTACTGATTGCAACTGGGAATCAAGATCTCTGTCCTGGGATCACAAACTGATGCCAGGAAGAGACTGTAGGTCAGTTTCTGATCAAAAGATAATAGTGTACTGCATTTTTTCACGCTTCTAGCCCAAAATTATCCTGCAAATTCACCTAGAGCTACAGCAGAAAGGTGGCTGGCTTGATTTTCAGGTGTCGTTTACTACAAAAGGCATAGCACACTATCAGTGGTATTAAAATGATGTCTTCCAAATAACAAGGTCTTCAGTGCTTTTAAGTACTGACTTTCCCACCATCAGTCTCCAACTACAGTATGTCTGGAACCACAGCAGACTTCCCTAAATTACACAGTGCTATAGAAAGACAGGGAGGGCACTTTTTTATTCAGAATCAGAATTTGGAGCTCTCATCCTTCCCAGAGTACTTGCCATCTGTGGGCAGTGCTCAGATACCTGTCAAAGCCTTTTTGTCTATTTCCTTTTATAATAAGCAAATGACAAAATATCTGAGATTTTCTTAGAGCTGCACACTCATCACAACCATCAAAATATACACACGGTACTTCTGAATTAACTGCTGCCAGTTACAAAAGCAGGATGTGTACTGTCCTTCTGTAGTGTAGAGAGAAAATAACTGCTGCATGTCCCCTTTATTAAGGGCAACTGAGATTGGCCTCTCTAGTGAGAAGCTTGGGATGTTCTGCTTGCATTGTTATGTTGTTTCTTTGCCTTTTGTACTCATATCAAGTCTGCGCTTAGTTAGCCTAAACAAAGCATGTGAGGCCACTGTGTTTCTTTGGTAGTAGATAGAACCAGGGCCTGAGATGAAGGTTGCCCTTCTGATAACAGCCAGACGGAGACTGACTCTTATCAGAGCACTGGGATGGAGCTCTTTTCCCTTCCTTGTGCTGCTCATTCTGGGACCGATCTGCTGTAAGTCACCCAAGAACATTTTTTCCTCTCCCTTTCTGTACCGGCCGGCAGAGCTGATGAGACAGGTCTGAGCTTCTCTGAGCCTCAGAGGTTCAGCAAAAATTCCTCTGAGCCTTCACACAACCAATGAAATAGCTAATTAAGGACAGGCCAGTGCCAATTGACATAATTTATCTCACTCATCAGCACACAGGTGTTATTCCCACATTTGGACAAAAATAACCTGTGATTACTGCCTAGAGATGTTTAATGGAGTGGAGAAGAGGTTAAAGGGGCCAGTTAGATATCAGGCTTCTAATAGCAAATTGTCGCTTTTATCTGTCTTTCTCAAAGTGGTTTTAATTTACATCACTATATGGGCCATGATTTCCTTTGTTTTTTCAAATCATATCTTAATTATCAACTGAAGAGAATTTTCAAGAAAAAATTAGCAAGTGAAAGGCTGAAGCCGGGACTTCTTTTAGTGATTTGCAAGCTTTGAACATGATTCGTCTGGAAGATACAGACGTCTTCAGATTTCTTAGAATGTCTAATTTGTGACTATTGGTAGTAATAAGGACTGACTCGTAGCATGACTCTTGCCAGAGATGATCTCCTGTAACATTGGAGAGGCTTGCAGAGGTTAGCCTATATGCAGTAGATATGCTGGCTGAGATTTTCTGCTCCAATTTCTGTTCCAGGCTTGAATTTTACAGACACTGGTGTTTTTCAGCCAAGAGCTTATGCCCATGGTGTGGAGGGATGCTAAGTCAGAGGTCATTGATAAAACCTGGCATTTCCTCTCTTTTTGTGCCTTTTTTTTTTTTTTTTTTTTTTAAGACCACAAAAGATAAATTGTTCTCAGATGTCTTGTTTGGTGGCCTTCATAAGGGCAGTGTGAGGAAATCACAGCTGAACAGCAGCTGGCAATAATGCCACTGCTAATTTTTACAACAAAGTCTAGTGGGTAGCTTTAATGTGAGTGGCTGGTATGACTCGGGGAGGGGAGACCACACTGAGTCCCATTCCCTCCTGTGCCTGACGCTGGGAACAGCTAGAGCTGTGCACAGTTTCAGATGGACAGGAAGCACACAGTTTGAAGTCACAGCAGGAAAACCAGCTAACACAGGCAGGACAGCTTATGGCTGTAACAGAGCAAATGCATCTGGGTAGTAACAGGAACTAAGAGCCCTGCTGCTTTTCTGGGATAGCTGGACTGGCAGAGAAGCGCCAAGTGCTCACTGCTTTGCCTTGTGCAAAGGGGGCATCTAGGGGTCAGTCTAGAGAACTACCGGCCTCCATGTATAACTGAAACTAGAGGGAATACAGAACTTCCTTCCCAAATTGCTGTTCTGGCCTCTTGCCAGGAGACTGGAGATTGTCTGTAATGGAGCTAGAGGAAAATGAAAGCATTCACATCTCTACTATGGATGACAGACTTCTGCATTTCCCAACATGCAGATAGATCATCTAAGTGTCCCACTCTAGAGATGAGCATAAACACTCTTACTTTGAGCAACCCATGCCAACACTACATGGCCTAGTGTGCCTAAATGCTGGGGCAGACGTGACAAAAAGAAACATTTTATATTGTCCTACGTGATCTAGGATTGAGCGGCTTATAGCAAAGTCAGAGACTACTTTGAAAAATTTTCTGGGCATTTAGTTCCTTCTCAGTCGCAGTCCTAACCATGGATCTACCAGTAATCATCTTGCTGAGTATGTCCAACAGCCAGCTGTGTTCCTGCTCAGAAAATTACCAGTTCAATGCAGTAGTGGGGAAAAGCAAACATACATAAAGTGAAGCTTTTTCCCTCTGATCTAGAAGCAGCTTGTTTCAGTCCCTGCTGTGCATGCCACTGACTGCTCTGCTGTATTTCATTCCACAGCTCTTGCTCGGAAAGGGATGACTGGTACAGCTGCATTAGCAGGCACATCCCAGATGACTACAAAGCTCCCAACACTTCCACTTCCCACAGCAGTGTGGAGGTAAAAGGAGGCCAAATCTTTCAATGCTTGAAAGGGGAAGGGCGGGAGAGAGAGAAAGGGAGAAGGGTTATAAATGCAGAGTTCCTAATGGCAAGATGTTCTTATTATTTTCGTTTAAACCAGTATGCCAATCTTAAATAACGAAGCTCATCACAGCTCATGGGACACCTCTGAAATGTTAATCACACTCTATACTCTGTGGTTGTTGCTTAGATAGGAGTTCTTCTGGAGGAAGACTATTTTGTCCTAAAGGGTAACTATTTTGGACGAACTAAAAATAGCTAAACTTCATAGATTTTAAGAAGACAAAACTACCCATTAGTCACACTAATATCATACACGCAATAAAGTCACTGCCAATGCAAATCTCACCACCTCATTGTACCTGAACAACTGATACCTATTATTGTTATCTCGTTCATTTCAGTTGGTCTATTCCCAGTTAAGAAGGCAAAGAGTGCATCTGACAAAAAGTAAAAATGCTATTTTAGGTTATGTAGAACACCAGTTTTACTAAATAAGACTAACTGGGGGAAAAAAAGAGTGCTGTTAAGGCCACACCTAGCCAGTGCTGGGCTCCCCAGTCCAAGAGAAACATAGATGTACTGGAGAGAGTCCAATGAAAGACCACGAGGGTGATGAAGGGACTGGAGTACCTCATGGTTGAGGAGAGGCTGAGAGAGCTGGGACTGTTCAGCCTGGAGAAGAGAAGGCTCAGGGTGGATCCCATCAATGTGTATAAATACCTGCAGGGAAGGTACAAAGAAGATGGAGCCAGGCTCTTCTCGGTGGTGCCCAGTGACAGGACCAGAGGCAATGGGCACAAACTGAAACACAGGAGCTTCCCCCGAACATCAGGAATCACTTTTTTCACTCTGAGGTGACTGAGCACTGGCACAGGCTGCCCGGGGAGGTTGTGGAGCCTCCGTCCGTGTTTAAATCCTATTTGTCTGCAAGACGTCTAATTTCCTCATAGGAAACCCTCCTAACAAACAGTCCTTCAAAGGCACAAGAGCTTGTGCTACTGAGCTGCTGTGAACTGACAGTGGGGTACCCATAATACTTTGGTGCTGAACCTGAAGAAACACAGCCTCTCAGCATGGCTCATTAGATTGGGTTGAGTTCCACACTGACACTGGTTCCCTAGGCTTGGAGCAAAGGCACCTGTACAACACTGTAACATGGTGCATTCCAAGAAACGGGAACAGTGAATACATTTTCTAAAGCTGCTTACATATATTCAGATCAGCCATGGAAAGCATGGATCAGATTTGGATTGGAGCGGGGGAAATTAATCTTTGATTTTACTGTTTTCTGTACTCTCTCTTCCCCAATCAATGGAGCTGTCCCAAGGTGTAATGACATAAAGAGTTCAGGCCCTTTTCAATTGAAAGCTATACAGCTTTTTGTGGATATTAGTTCAAAAGCTGTTAATAAAAAGATGGCTTTAATTCATGTTCTTACCTGCAATTTGCATAAGCAATGAATCAGACCCTTCTCTGATGTGGAAGAGTGTCAGTGCCTGACTAATAATAAATCTACATGGATTTTTACCTGTTGTGACTCGGGCTTTAACAGCACCATGTACTGACTGGCCACAGTCTTTCAGTGCTGAAGAGCTGTATCTCGCTTAAAATGTGTATTAGGAATTAGAGAATTTGGGGATCTTAGCAGGTGAAGGTAGACTGAAATGAGAGGAGAATTGTATGTGATGGAGCAGGGCTGAGTGTACTTTGGAAGCGCGGATGCTTCTTCACTTGTTGTTGTTTGATTTTAAGCTAAGGGAAAGGCTTGGAATACCCTTGGGTGAGAGGCCTCCTACTTTGGTACCTGTGTCCCACGTCATGATGTGCATGAACTGTGGCTGTGACTTTACGCTCACTTTGAGGAGACATCATTGCCATGCCTGTGGGAAGGTAAGAGCTGCACAAGCTTCTCAGGAAGGCTTTACTCACACCTCTAGGACACTGGCTGCCACTGCTCTAACTTCTACAAACTTCACGTAGCAACATCAAGACCAGAATTTGACTTCTCAGAGAACCTGTTAGTGCTCTGCTAAATTAGGTAATTAGGTTTCTAATGACTCTAGTAAGAACAATCATAACCTTCCCTTGAGGGTCAAATTAATTCCCAAATGCTAGTAGTTGAAGGCTTACAGGATAATTGTTGCTGAGTCCAGCCATTGTATCTGATACACAGCTAGCGCTAAAGACAATGAAGCAATACACTAAAAATACAGGCTCTATCCTGGACGAGAGCAGTAGCACATCTAGTCCATGTCCTGTCCCTAATAACAGCTGGTAAAATTATCTTCCAAGAAAAGTGAAGAAACTCAGCAGCAGACCATGGGTTGATCAGTGTCCAAAGGGAAAGCTTGCTCTGTGCTCCATTGAAGAGCCCCTGCCTTTTGCTTAAAAGCCAAGGGGATCTATAAGCTTTCTTGGGTTCGTCCCTTTACCACTGACTCTAAAGATTTGTTTATACACATAAACCTGCAGGCTGTCTTTTAGCCCCAGTGATTTTTTTTTTTTAATTAAACTACCAGTAGTTTTTGCTAGTATGAAAAAGCATTTACTTAATCTTTTTTTCTAATTCCACAGAGAAAATCAGTCTGTACCTACACAGGGATATCGAGAACATGCAAGCTTGCTTAAGGAAACAATATTACTAACAAAGCTATGAAAACAAAAGTAATATTAAAATATTAAAATATGAGTTCCTGGGGAGATGGGCACAGCAGTGGTGTGCAACCAAATACAGTGACCAATTCTGCTTGGCTGACAACAGTGTAAAACTACAGCAATCACATTTCAGTCAGTAGACTTACCCTGACTGCCACAGTTTTAGGAGAGCGTCATACCCAGTCTGCTATCCATCTTCCCCTCCCAATCAGCTCAGGGGATTTGTTTTGTACGTGCATATACATAAATTTGAATTACATTGATGTGCATCTCTCCTTGATGGAACAGATTGTATGTCGAAACTGTTCAAGAAACAAGTACCCTATGAAGTACCTCAAAGATCAAGCAGCCAAAGTCTGTGATAGCTGCTATGTGGAACTTAAGAAAAGAGGTAAGGTTCCTTCATTCTTGGCAAAACCGACAAACCCATTTCCTGCTTGTATAATGGGCAGGCTTTAGGATCTGCCTACCGTGTTGCGTTTTGTTAAAAGAGGATTTCTCCTTTCAAGCACGAGGCATATGGCTTCCCTGGCCTTTTGATAAACCAGAATAACGATAAAAACTATGTCCTGTGAGGAGTGGCTGAGGACATGGGCGTTTGTCTCATTTGGAGAAAAGAAGGCTGAGGGGCAACCTCATTGCTCTCTGCAGCTTCCTGAGGAGGCAACGGGGCGAGGGAGGTGCTGATCTCTTCTCCCTGGGATCCAGGGACAGGTCACATGGGAATGGTTCAAAGCTTCGTCAGAGGAGGTTCAGACTTGATATTAGGAAACATTTCTTTACCCAGAGAGTGGTCAAACACAGGAACAGGCTTTCTAGAGAGGTGGTCCCAAGCCTGACAAGTGTCTAAGACGCATTTGCACAATGCCCTTAATAACACGCTTTAACTTTTGGGCAGCCCTGAACTGGTCAGGCAGTTGGACTAGGTGATCATTGTTGGTCCCTTCCAACTGAACTATTCTATTCTGTGATGTAATTATAGGTGATAGCTCTTCCCTGTCATTTCTAATGAACTATCCATTAAAGTAAAACAGTGGCTTTACAGTTCCTCACTATCCTCATCCACACTGTAGCTTTTACAACAACAAATGCTGAGGTACAGAGTCACTAAGAGCTTTTCTACATGGGGAGTAAATCTGGTTACAGATGAAAGCACGAATTCAAAGCAGAAGAGCTACTGCCTAACTAGAACTCTGTATTATTGTCCTACAGTACAAGTCCCTTTTCGGATTTAAATACACATCCAAATCAAAGATAAAAGGGGGAGCCAGGGTTACATATATATGAACAGAGAATGAACAGGAAATTGTGTTCTTGCACAACTATTCCTGTAGACAATCTCTAAAAGTAGGCACATTATGCTGTCAAGGATAAAAAGGTGGGGACAGATGAAGTTTAGTTCTTCCATCCTCATTAAAGACATTCACACTAGCCAAGCAAACACATGCTGTCACAACAGCCAAAAAAGCATCCCCAAGAAACAGTAACTCAGATTTGTGCTAAAACAATGCTGTGCTTTACTAAGAGCTTCCAGATAATGTGTGTCGCCAGAAGTGAGATCATGAAGATATGAACTCAGACAACTGGGGTTAACGGAGATTGACAGAGTAACTCCCTCCCATGCAGAAATCTAAGTGAACGGTTCATACTGAAAGAATGTCCCATTAGTGAATCTATCCTGCAAAGGTGTTACAGAACATAGAGGGGAGAGATGGAAAAGCCATTTGCTTAATGCTGATTTTAAATTGGAAGAAAACAAGCTATGTTTTGTGCTTTGTCAGCTTTCTTGCAGGCTTCTTTCAAGTAGCTGTAGGTCATTACCATTAACCTAGGGTGCTATGAAATCCACCCATCTAATCAGACTTAAAGGGGTGATTTGAAAGAAAAGCTAAAATAAAAACCAGCTATGGAGGAGACATTGCATTTTCATTAGTCATTTTCGTTAGTGTATTGTGTGTCTCTTACTCCCACTCTGATATGTACCGATTCATCCATTTCCCCCTTCCCTTTCTGAATTTTCTTAATCTTGCAGAGCGGCCACTAAGTGTGAGCTTCCCTCCAACTTCATCCAGATGTTCAAGCAGTGCCTTCTCCTCTGTCTTCCACAATATTCACTATTCATCTTTTAAGAAACAGAAGAAGATCCCTTCAGCTCTTATGGAGGTAGAACCAAGCTGCTTGAGAAGGGAGAGGAACTGTTAGAGAACTGTGTGCTCATAGTTCAGCAGCTATGTTTATAATTTATTCTGTGTGCAGTGGGCTCAGCCCTGGTCTACTTTCATTATGCAATTTTTTTTTTCTGTTTTTCACAATAGTGTTTAAAACAGAAAATACTCTGAGCTCTGAAGATACCACAGAAGCTTCTTGAGCCCACTAAGAAACTCAATTAGAGCAAAGAGTACTTTAATTTGCTCATCAGCCTCTGAAGTCTTTAGAAAACTAAGATGACTTCAAGGTACTAGAACAGTACAACAAGGCAGATCAACTGACAATGACAAGATCAACAGAGCAGAATATACAGTTGACCAGTTACGTTTTTTGACAAGACCCTTAAGAAATCTTAAGTTTGATTTAAGAGAAATAAAATACCACTCACTTACGGAATAGACTCTAGTCCTTGGCAGTCAATTCAGGAACATACATGTTTAATCAGGCACCTTTCCTTCAGCTCAAACCAAACTATTTCAAATCAAGTGGTTAAAATCTTGACCCCACCAATGTAAACAAATAAAATTCGCACCAGTTTCAATGAGGCCAGGATTTCTCCAGCTGTATTAGTTTTCTTTCCAGGAACAAGGTGCCAATCATGTTGGTGTACTCCAAGCAGCTAAGTTGCCCATTGAACTCAAGCACAGAAATGTACTCCCATTTCATTGAAATGAGCAGGTATTTATCCTTGTGTTAAAGAGAACAGGGCGCAAACAACTTGCTGAACTCACTTTGCAGTCGAGACACTGGAATTTCTTGAGGTTTGCTTGTGCTGAGGTTAAATTGAGCCAAAGATACAAACATTAATACAAACGCACACATCGAATACTGAAGGCACTGGCAGACAAAATTTCAGCGCCATTAGGAAAAAGCATTGCCTTTCTATCCACAGGGAGGCAGCAAATGTTTATTAATACAAAGCTGTCTTACAATAGCATTGCTCCATAACTTTTTCTAACTTGCTTTACCCAGGTCCTGGAACATTTCTGTTCTGCTGCAAAACACTGCTGTATTACTGCTCGGTCTTCTCTTGTGTCAGTGCTTCAAAAGCTGGTTTTGAATCTCTGCCCTTTGTTTTTAAATCCAATATAATTGCGGTTTACTACCATAACTAATCAAGTACACTGCATTGTGTGTGTGCATGTATAGTTTAATCTATTCAAAATCTGGATTTTTAAGAACATTAAGCACTTAGATCTCAAAATATCTCCCAGAGGGATAACTTCTTGGAAATATTATTTCAGAAATGGACCCAAATCATAGTCAAGTGATTAACATAAATTGATATAAAACCATTGAAAAGTCCTAAATATACGCACATCTTAGAAGCATTCAGCCACAGGACTGCAATTCCCTTCTGGAAGCATGTACTTTTAATATACCAAAAATACAGACCTGGGAAAAGCAACAAGTTTGGCTCCTCAGAACACAACTGTAAACTTGCTGACCTCAATAATAACTCAACTGCATATTTTCCATCATAGTTATTGAGAACTAAGTTTAACCAGAAAACTTCAACAGTTAAAAAGGACCGTAATACCATGCTTAAATTCTTTCTGTCTCAGTATTTTTAATGGTCTACTTATGGTTTCACAGACATAGACCTGGTTGTCTGGTGTGATGCAAACATGCATAATCAGGAGGGGAAAAGCCTTTGCTGTTACAAATCCTGATTTCTCCTATCCTGCTCCAGGTGGCAGCCTCAGGAGAGGGAGCTACCATCAGTGGTTACCTCAACAGATGTAAGAGAGGCAAAAGACACTGGAAGAAACGCTGGTTTGTTATCAAAGGCAAAGTCCTCTACACCTACATAGCAAATGAGGTACTGTGCAATCTGACTTGAAATAGCTTCCTGTCAAGTTCCCTTCTTCACTCCCTACAGGCAGCAGAAACTGACGGCTGCACGAAGCAACATTATCCCCTTTAAGCAGATGAGGAGATTGAGGCACAGAAGAGTTCATGATTTGGCCAGCAATTGAGAACATTAGCATCAAATTCTGTATCCAGTATATTTACCTTACCTTTGCTAGCCTTAAAAGTGATGACTTCTGGTTCAACAATAGGGAAAAACCAACAGATGGCTAATTACGCTTTGCATTCCCAGTTTGCAATTTAGCTTCTAAAAGCAGAGGCAAAGGCAACACACACATACAGAAAACATTACCAAAATACAGTGACCAAAACTGCAGCTATCGGCAACGGCTAAACTGCAATTCGATTAAGGCTTATTGTTTTCTTTAACTTGTACAAAGCAGTGTCTGGCAAGCAAAATTCATGGATGTTTCTTGGGAGTAAATTAACATTTAATTGTATTATCAGCTCAGAAATTTCAAAGCAGCATTTTGGATAGCAAGTGTGCTGTTTGAGACTGCAGATTTCTAAGACAGTTGTGAGTTCTATGAAAGGAAATTACAAGGTACTAGAAAGACTACTTGCACTTGACAAATAAAAATGGTTGAAAGGAACATAACTGGAGGTGGGTTTCAGGCTTTCAGAACTGCTGCTGTGCTGTCCCATGCTCTCAGTAACCTCTAGTTTACCTCCTGGACCATTATGTCAAAGACAGCTATTAAAGTAATGGCTAATTTGACCTGCATGGCCATGTGGATGACCATGAAGAACTGGACTTTCAGAGGTGATGTTCGAGTTCAGGACTAAGACTAGATAAACGTGTGCAGTACACAGGCATTGCTCCTGTTCAGTTAAGAGCCACCAGTCCAGCAGAAGGTTCACACTACTGCTTTTGCAGCCCTGTCAGAGAGGGGTTATATCATTATTTGGTTTTCAGAAAGAGCCCTCAAACCTTCACTCTCAATTTCGGTTTACTTCTTCTTTGCTTTCAGGACAAAGTTGCTACAGAAAGTTTGCCTTTGTTGGGTTTCACTGTTGCCCCAGAAAAGGAGGAAGGAAATACGGACACGGTTTTCCATCTCTACCACAAGCAGACTCTATTTTATAGCTTCCGAGCAGAGGATAACAATTCAGCACAGAGGTATGGGGGTAGACTTCCACACTAGCCAGTGCACAAGTCCAAAAGTTTATGCAGGGCTTTTCCCTCTCCTTCACTTCAGAATGCTTTCATAACAGAGGAATCAAACAGCTTTTGGAGTGCTGATTAAGACCAATTGCACGTGACTGGCCTGGGTGACATTAAAAATCTACCTGGTGCTTTTCAGATCCTTCAGGAGGGAGAATTTGCTCCCTTGTACAGGTAAAGAGGAGGCTGAGTGAGGCTCAAGAGTCATGCCTAGAAGTCTGTCAAATGGGATTACTGTACAGAAACTTCTCTGATTTGTGTGTTCTGTTTATCCAACTCTCCGTTTCCTCATCAACAAATAACTGTTCAATTTCCCACTGCAATGCTACTGCTTCCACACAATAAAATAGTCATGAAATTACGTAATAAAAATGCCAGCACCTCAAGACACACAGGGAAGAAAATGAGTGTTTATGGGAGGTTTTGTTGCTTTTAAACATACTTCAGTGGTTTCATCTTTCCTATTCTAAGACAGCACTTGTACTATCTTTGAGATTTTACAATACATTCTGATAAAGGATGTACCTGAATGCAAGAGTCCTAGTACCCAGCTCCCTGCTTTAATCACAAAGCTATAGCTCCTTGTTAGAGCTAGGATGGGAAATACAGTCCTCTTCAGGCTTTATGTTCTTAAAACACTTACTTTTCTTAAAATACATATGTTCTTAAAATGCATATAATTTTATATGTACCCCTTTTTTTTTCCTGCCCTTTTTAGGTGGATTGAAGCCATGGAAGAAGCATCCATATTATAGCAGCTATCACTCAATGGACTTGGAATAAATTCTCAGATTTCTGTACATTCCCAGAAACCCTCTTCTGTCTCACAAAACTGAACAGTGTATTTCAGGCAAACTGGCTACATACACTGGATATGAACTGTTGCCAAACTGCTCTTTTTGCTTCCTTCTTCTTACATCTCCATTTTTGCAAATGGAAACTTTAAAATAGAGAATATTTATGGCGATCTTTAAGTCTGTGCAAGTTCAACCCATACTATAAGCTTCTCCTCTGATCCCACAGTAAACTAAGTCTAATATCAAGACAATAAAATAGATGGAAATACTGACTACAGTAACAGGCTCAGTTTTGCTTACTCTAGAGCACTATCATATTTCATTGGGTTGGTTTTGATGTCTACCATGAAATGAGAAACAACGTAGTAAACAACAAATGCTCATTTAAAGCACTTTATTATTTTTATTGAACTACAGCTTCATTTTTTCATGTTTCTAAGGAGTTCTGTGGCCTGATTTTATTACTCATCCATTAACAAGCGCCAGCATGAAATTAGGCCCCACGTATGCTAAATTGCTTCCATGGAAAATGAATGAACAACACATTCAATTTACCTGGTCTGCCAACACTTCACTGGCTATGATCCAGGATAATTACTATCAATTTATAATTTTACACCGATCACTGTATAATTTATTTTACAGGGTTTAATTTCATACCACTGCAGTACTTTGAAATGCACTCCAGTAGCTCTACAAATCCAGACGCTGAATAATTTCACTTCTCCTTAAACACTGCATCAGACTCAAACCCAAAGGTTGTTTTTTATTTATTATAAACCTACAGGCAGTTTTTATTTAACACTAGTCTACCTAGTAGTGTTAAGATGCTTATCATCTATTTAAACAGTCTATTTTCAAAGCTCCTGTTGTTTCTGCTGTTCTTGTTATGAAAAGTGTCATCAAAAGTTTAATCCATTTAACCAGCACACCATTTGAAATATGCTGGTAGGCTGAAATGCACTTGTCTGAACCTGCTCTGCTGGAGTGCTTTGGAACTCCTGTGGCTAAATGTGTTTTACGTCAGACTGCTGTTGTGCACTACAGCTCCAGGGCTGGATTCTCACCAGCCAAGTGTCTGTATGACTTCGAAGATGCTGTGCTGCTTTACACTAGCTGAGGATATAGATCTCTGGAGTTCGGGGGGTTGGTTTTTTGTTGTTTTGGGGTCTTTTTTTTTTTGTTTTTTAGTGTTTTGTTGTTTTTATAATAAAGAAGGTTGAGAAGTGGTGTTCTAATCATTGCAATAAAATGGTTTCATGCCCTATATTTGTCATAATATTTGAGGAATAGAATGGCATTTATGATTAAAATATAGCTTTGTATAAAAATACCATGTTCAAGAATTTACTTATATTAAAACGTATTGGGGGAGAGGATTTTTATTACTTTCATTTTTCCCTTTCTTAAGAAGCTCAATGGATATCTAAATTTTTGACCCTAACACACTGTTTAGAATTGTCCGTATTTTTAAAGGCCTATAATATGTACCCAAATGATAAGGGTAGTTCAGTTTATCACCTGGAAAAACAAGCTTAAAAAACCACATACATACCTACCACTGAATAAAAATATAGTTGTTGTGGGTTTTTAATACAACTGAGTCTTTAGTTAATGGATGAACTCCAATGTTAACTCTTTGTTTCATCTGAGAATCACGGCCTTGCTACCAGTACACTGTAAATGCTTAAACCCCCCCCTTAAAAACATTTTGCACTGACAAAACAAATAAGAGAATGTTGAATACAGAGCAAGATCTCTAACCATGGTCCCAAACAAAACTGCACTACAGAACAACAGTATTATGAAGATTTAGGTGCTGACATTTAGTGACTGTTGTATGAAGTTTTCAGTTATAAGCAGGAAATGAATACATGAAAATATTTTGTTGTAAAAAATAAGATACAGTGCTATTAAACATTGTTTTAAGTAATGTGGAAAAATAAAAGAGCAAAACATAACTGCAGTTCTACAGGCTTTTCCTTTACGTTATTTTGACCTTACTTATTTCCAGCTTTGCAGTTCCCGTTACTGACACTTACCTATCATCCAATTCTCTGACAAACTAAGGAAGAGCATCAAATCAGAAAATGGTAGCAGAGGCCTTCTGGTAGAAACAGGATTTAGACCCAATTGCTATGATGAAGTGTTTCAGTCCACACTAGTGGACCAGTGTTCTCACTCTCCTTGTAGCATGCTGAGTGGACAGCGTCCTCTACTACTTTAAACTAAATCTGACTGCACTTGCGCTCACAGGTTCGCTAGAGAGAAGTTCAAAGGTAAATGCCACAGACTGTAACCAGACAGCATTGCATTTTTGTCCTTCCACACTCTGGAGATTACAGCAAATACCACATAACAGATAAGATACAGAGACTTTTTTTAAGACACATCTTCTACTCACTAGAACCGTCCCCACTGCACAAGCAATACGTCAGTTCTGACCACCATCTGAGTATCGTGAGCACAAGGAATCACTCTTCCCTCTTTCCAGAATAAACCAGCATGTCATTAGCTAAATAACTGCATTTCCAAATAAACCGGTAAGACTATTCAGAACGCAAGTTGAAGGGAGATTTTTCTGCAGTTGACAAAGCCTAGAGCAGACAGAAAGCTCACTTTTGGTAAGAGATAACTATGGAGAAATGAGGGCAAAACCCCCACAGAACGGAGGTCACTAGCTTCCCTCAGCACTGCCCAGCCACGTACAAACCTGAGCACAAGGCGCAAGGACTTGCACTTCAAAAATCATCTACTAACACCTAAAAGAGAGATTTAAATTGAACGCGGCATTAACAAGACCAAACAGCTTATATTGGTAAAACCTTCTCAGTCACTTCTAACTGTTGAATTCTTCCATGCTAGGTATCAGCTTTGCTCTTAAAATTTACCTCAAAAGTTTCAGGAGAATTCTGTGAAAATTTTAAGCACCTGAAATGACTACTAAAAAACCAAACCAAAAAAATCAACACAGCTCTACAACACTGTCAGTCCCAAACACTTAAAACACATGGATAACCTTAAATCCTGCTTTTATTCTGTACTGCTTGCCCTGCCCTGACTTCTGACCACCTCTCGGTCCACCACGCACTTTTACAGCCGCCGCCAGCAGAGCGGGGCTCTCGGCCCGCACCACAGGCGCTCGGGCAGCCCACCTCCCCACGGCAAGGGTTCTCTCCTTCCCCGTCGCAACCACGCTCCGCGCCCGTGAGCGCGCGCACCTCCCACCTCACCGCTGGTGCGTTCGGTCCGTCCTCGTGGGCGCGGAGCAGCTTCCGCGGGGTCCCCCCGCCCGGTGCCGCACCGCAGCTCCGCGGAGCTTTTCCTCTGAGGCAGCTGCCCG